CCCCCCCCCCCCCCAACTGGAGAGCTTGCTCGCAGGCTATCATCATGTTTTCTAAACAATATTTGACCACTGAAAATAACAAAACCCTGCTCATAACCTCCCAAAGGTAGCAACTTCACAATCTCACTTGCACAAATTTGTGACTTAAGAATAACAATAAAAACATAAAGACATAAACATTTTCTTTAAACTAACCATAAGACATAGTTTGAGCCTCTAGGTGAAATGTAGCTATTATTGAATGATGCATCCTAATTGTATTACATAACAGGATATTTGCCGAAACAAATTAAATATCTTCAAAATTTCACTCCAGTGCACAGTTGCATAAAACAACTCTTAAGAGATTTTCTTTGCAAAACATGGGAAAGATACTTTCTGCGTTCCTCCCTATTCTCACTTCAATCCACCTTTCTGCCTGATGAGAAGGTGCAAGAAAATCTTCTTGCAGAAACTATACTCTTCATCTAAGTTGCTTTATGTCACTGGGTTCTGGGCTAATAAATAACTTTCTCACATTGAAATGAATACAGAAAACAAATTAATTATAACAGTACGTGAACAGGACATGCAAGTCGTGTTTTAAAGAAAAACTTGACCATCAGCATCACATTTTCAAAATAATATTGTACCATCAACTCTAAGACAGACACCTTTAGGACCAGCCGGCACTCTTAGATGACTGTCTTAAGGCTGATTTAAATGGTACAATTTTTGCTCACGACTGTCGTGAAAGTGAACTTGAAACCTACTTTGAGTGTGAAGGGGTAAAATCTAATGAATGGAGAGATCGACAGCTTTTACTTCAAGTAATTTACTTTGCCTGCATGAAGCCATGTTTTTTACAGGGTGACTTAAGATTTCCAAGTGCACTTGAATTAAGTGCTTACTTAAATCTAACTTCGCTTGTAATGTGAAGCTAACAATTATTACCAGGGCAGGGCTCAAAATAACAGACAATGTCTAGCCAAAATGGCATCTTGACACGCCAACATCTATTGAACAGTCAAGCACACTGTTATTCTAGAAGAAACATCTAAATCCTCACCTGCAAATCTATGGGCGCTTTCCAAAAGTCAGAACTAGCTGGTCAGACCATGGCAGGACCAGACATTTTAGCAATGAAAAAGGCTTTGCTGAAAAACCATCTCCTTTATGCATGATATTTAGGATTTGACTAATATGTATGGTTAGTTTTGATTAAAAGTGAAATTCTCATTACAAGGGGAACGGGCTGGCCAGTCAGTTCTGACAAATGGAAAGCACCCTTAGATTTTGTCTCTTTGTAAAATACAACCATGTTCATTGACAGATAATTACTCAAGGATTAGTCAACATTTTTGTCCAATATTT